GCTCTGCGGGCCGGCCGGACAGCGCCTTGAGGCGTTTTCCCTTTTCTGCTTGGCTAAAACTCGTCGTTTTGGCTCCTGTCACAAGCCGACGCAGGAGGAGCCGAGTTCTCGGCAGCTTCCCTGAGGACCTTCTTTGAGTCCCTGACTCCATGGGAGATCTCAGTCTACTGAAACTTCTTAACAGCAGGATATCAAGTTCTATCACGTGTTTTCTTTCTTCCCATCTACTTTTCACTGCCTGGTGTTTGGCAGAACAATAACCCCCGTGGGCCCTCTTTAAGGACATAGAGGAGGGGTTTAAATGGGTCACTGCTAAGAAATCTTTAGAGGTCCCGAAATGCAGGGATGATGTGAACAATAAGATACAGGTGTTACTTAACACTCAGTTCAATGTACACTCCCACTTTTTCTAAGTACAGCGTGTTTTCCTAGCATCTTGCATGGCTTTCCCACGGTTTTGAGTGCCAGCCCTGCCACCCGGGTGCATGGCCTGCGCTGCGGGCGCTCCACGGCCCTGAAGGACCGGCAAGGACAGGCCCTGCGTGGTTAAGGTCCAGAAGAGAGTCGAGACAGGCCAGAAAAGTCCCTCAGTCAAAATAGAAACTATAAAGTCAGTGATTTTGCCACAGCTGAATTTTACTAACAGCCCACCAAACAACTAGTTGAAAGCATTTTTTTTGTTTGTTTTGTTTGTGGTTTTTTTTTTTGTTTGTTTGTTTGTTTTTTGTTTGTTTTTGTTTTTGTTTTTTTACCAACTGAAAGATTAATCCAGAGACTAGGGTTGTAGAATAGCAGGGAACTCAAGGAATGTGCACATCCCTTGTTCAGAAAGGGATACAGCAGGGCAGACTGCTCAGGAAAATGATAGACAGCATTAGTATTTTTTCCTAATAATAGAAAAAAAAGCAATGATAACAGTAGGTGTGCCACACTTGCTTCTAGCAAAACAGAGAAATGGTCTGAAGGTGTAAAAACCAGCAACGCATAGAAGAACGATCATAAAGGACAAAGTTCATAGATTTTGAAGGGGCGTAGAGCAACAAAGCAGTGGCACAGGAGATAAGAATGCAAACTTAGGAAATTTCTTTTGAGTCTCTCAGGAAATTAATATGAGGGAGAACAGTTTTAAGGATTCAGCAGTTCCTTAATGAAATTATTTCTTTAAGGGAACATGTGTAAACCACACAATGCAGAGGAAGAATGGGAAGTAAATTAAGAACCTCAGGAAAATTGCAAGTTCTTTAATGGCCTCAAATAGAAGAAAGCATACAGAAACTAGGTCAATTTTTTAAGGATGTGCATCTAAAGCAAATAATGAAGACAAAGGCTTACAGAATCATTGCTGAAAATTGCTGAACAGAATTTGCAAAGACCAAAGGATTAATTCTGTTGTTGTTGTTCAAGATAGCTAGTGTAAAAAACAAAAATATAACCTCAAGCTGAAATAAGGAAAGATTGGTTTATAGGATACCTCAATTAGTTATTTTTTTCCTTATCTGGTAACTATTTTCAACTTAGATGAAAAATTACCCTTGAGAGTTTAGAGGACTGACTGAAATTATCTCCATTTAATTAATGGTCATTTATATGAGAACCTGATGGAGCCTGGCCATTTTTCTGAATTTAAATAATAGCAAGGGGAATACAGAATACAAGCTACATAATCAAGCTGTCTAGTCAATAATTACCTGAGGAATCATCTAAAATAAGCGTTCAAAAGAAACAGAGTAGCTAGACACAAATTCACAATTAAGAAGAAGGGTTTCACACAATTTTATTTCCTTTAAGGAAAAAGAAATAGACTGTGTAAAGGAGTGAGTCAAGTTCCCAACACCTTCTGGCATTAAGGCTTCTGACACTTCCCCATGCAAATCTGGGAAATGTAACTAGATGAAACTTTAATAGGGGATGCAATTAATGTAGTTGGAGCAAGAGAGGGCCATTCCCAATGTAGGATTTCACAAAGGGCTTCCCAAGGCCAAGCTTGCTCAGCGGTTTCACTGGTGGCTCAGATAAAGTACCACAGACTTTACTAATGTTAGCAGGTTATGTTGAATAAGAGCAGCTACAAGAACACTAGAAAATAATTGCAATTCAGATTCAAAATAGAAGACCGGATACAAAATCTTGGGTGGTGGAAGAATGAGGTTCAATAATGCAGGAAAGCTACCATATTGGGAATGGGCAGGTAGGGCTCCTCTGCTACACTGTGTAACAAGAGGTATGCAAGTTGACATCTCCCAATACTGAAAAACTGAGCATTATAGTGGGATGTATGAAGAGGACTTTAATACGTAAGACTTATCAACCAATCCTTCCAGTCTAATTGGCACAAAGAGGCCCTGTTTTGGATGCTGTGTCCAGCCTGAGGCACTTCAAGACAAATTCAGACCAAAAGAAGAAATCAAAGACCCAGAACGATGAGAGGTGCAGAAAGTAAAATCTACAAGGCAGGGCTGATTGAACAGCCTGGGGTTGTTTTAGATGTAGACAACAAGACTGAGAAGGGAGATAACAAGAAATTGTTTTCCTTGCTTCTAGTGAAAAGGCCAAGTAGTATTTGACTTCAACTGCAGAGAGATTTAGTTGGACATTATAAATACCTTTCTCACGGTAAAAATAGTTTAACACTGGAAGAGATTACACGGAGCCTCCATCACTGGAGGCCTTCATACACCACTCAAACATTTGTCAGAAATAATTCTAACACAGTTGAACCTATTGAGGAGTAAAGAGAAGCAGCAAATGACCTCTCAAAAATTAGCCTAGTCTTATTTCTTAACCTGTGCAAGTGGAAGGTCATGTAGAATTCAGTTCATATTTTATGAACATTAGGCATTTCTCCAGGTGTGTCCCTAATAGAAAGTATTAACTCAGGTCAAGCCATGAATGGAGAATAATTTAGTTAAATCAAAGTTGTGCATAGATAACCTAAGGTCACTTTCATTCCGAATCCATATAGGGATGAAGTGTAGGTTGACTATTGAAGTCAATACAAATTTATTTCCTAGACATGTCTTGTAGAGGCCAGATATTCAAAATCCACACTTTGCTGTTAAAAACAAATCCAGGTATTACTCTGAAGGGAGAAGAAGATGGCTTGAAGAAGTAATTTTAAGTTATCAAGATAGAAACATACAAACATTGCATATTGCCAGTGCAAAATAAAGGGTTGATCTACTACAGGTAAATTGTGACTTTCCATTAAAAGTGTGTCCTTTTCTCATCCTTCTTTTTATCAAGTATGCAAGCAGATATGCACCATGACACAAGTAAGTACTTTGAAGATACATGCTGTTTGCTTATGTCTCAATAGTAGCTATGACGAAACTAGAACACATTCTCATTATACCAGTCTAGATCCTAGTTCTGTACAGTGTACAACTGCAGTTGTATTTGACTCTTCTGCTACCAAAAGACACATTTTCTGTGTTCTGCAGGGCATACAAATGACTACAAAACGGCAAACAATCTCCTCCTGTACAGTTTTTCCCAACAATCTATAAAATAAATGCTAGCTGACCTTCGTAAACCTAGCATTAATGGAGGGGAAAATACTGCTGAAGTGGAGAATGGACTCAGTAATAGCTGAGCTTTGCCCTTTTGCAGCAACAGCCATTTGAACATACAAGACAGCTGATAAGTATCATCTGGAAAGTCTGGTCTCCCTTACTTTCCCTGGCAGACTTCCTGGAGATTTCATGATACAGTGAATTTTCATCTAAGGGCAGTGCTGAATATACAAGATGCACATTCATTCTTTCTCCAGAGTCTTCATCAGATAAGCATGTTATACTCCCACATCTGAAGGTCACCTTTCATGTTACTGACACTCAAAACCTACAGCAATGTAAATAAAAACATATGAATTGAGGTAAGACATTTGAGACAACTCCCGAGACCTTTGGCAAACACTGTTAACGCTTCATTTTCATTATTAAATATATACCTCAATTGTAATCAAATGCTTCTAGCTTTATTTCTCTCAGTTACACAGTTTAACACTCAGCATAAACTGTTTATCTGACTGTCTTTTGTTTTAGGAATACACATATGTATTGGAAAATATTTATATGCCAACTGTAGCATTTCTAGTAAAACTTATGGCCACCTAGTGGCCTAAATGCAATTTACCTATTAAAAATACTTAGGATTACATGAAGATCCTCATCTAAAAATAAAACAAAAAGTACAAGTTTCATAGCTTTTGCATATATTTAAGGTATAAATACTAATTTGTTTGTACAGTACATCCTTTAACACAATCTGAGAAATCAAATGGGGGAGGGCACGAATTTTATGTGAGAAAAACTAATAACAGAAAGCAAAATTAAAGTGGCCCTTAAGGAAAGAAAGAAACTGAGGGAGAAACACATGAATTGAACCAATGATCTGAATGCATGAGTAAGTACATAAAGAATCTGCACTGTGTTTGTGAGATTAACTCTGCATCTGAAGAAAAAAAGGAAAAAGGTGCCATTAAAGAGGGGAAAAAAAAAAGAAGAAAGCTAAATGCTTGCATAGTATGAAATGTTGTGGAAATTCACCTGTTGTCCCCACTTTCAATAACTTAAATGAATATCACTTAAAACATCACACAGATTAAAGACATCTGTATATATTTCAGATTTCAATATTAATGCCAAAAATACATAGTATGACTTTACATAGGATTTATGCTACATTAGAACACTAAAGACAAACATCACTTGAGTATTAAATGAAACATTAAATATTAAATAACTGAAAAATAAAATAAAAAGTGTAAACACTAAACTAACTTGGGAATTTGCTATTGCAACACATCCAATGAAGTGGTTTTAAACAGTACAAAAAGATTAGATTTAAGTATGTTTCCAGTCTACTTGGAATACACAAAGCTCATTCCAGAAACCTTTTAAAAACTGGTCCAGGATCACAGAAGAACCTTCTCTCGAGCGCTATTTTCATTCCTTTACAGACTTAACTTTATACTGTCGTCTCTACTGATCTTCGCTTGTAAGGAGTAATCAACAGTAAAACAAATACTATAGTTTGCCATTGTTTGCTAGCATCTTGGTGAAAACTGAGGATTTGTTGGAGATTCAGTGTAGGATTTGAGTTCATATGCAGCGCCGCTATCAACTTCCATGGATTTCCGGGAGAACAGGAGCCTTACATCTCTGTGGAGGTAGATCTTTCCAGATTTAGAACTCTGGAACCTGAAAATACACAAATATCTGTATTATCTAAATCAAAAGATTAAATATTACTGAATTAAATACATTCCTCAAAAAAAAAAACCAAAACATTTGAACAATACAAAATTAGTCAGTTAAAATGAAAGAACAACCTAACATTTTCAATCTACTTTGATTTTTAAAGGTTCTGTTCCTAATCACCAATGTAGTGCACAGCTTTGGAAGTGGCATGGAATATCTGAAGATGATGCTGCTGTTATGTATACTGAAGATTAAAATTCTGAGCAATCTAGAAGGCCAAAAGTGATCTTCAGTGAGCAATCCTGAAAATACCCAAAGGATGCCTGAAGCATACACAAAAGGCACGGTTCAAATATCAACAAAGGCATATTAGACATATCAAATATATATTTTAGTGCTAGCTATCACACAGGCAGATTTCACTGCTATCTTCATGATTGTACCAGCAAGTTCACCACTGCTTATACCACACGCCAAATTTAAGTCCAACTGGAGAAGCAGTCGGTATGAGGATCTCTGTAGGCAGACAGAAAAAAAGGCTTCCACACTGAATACAGAGCTATTTCAAAGAGACTACAGTTCACTGGCCCCATCACCAACTTAAACAGCAGCCAATTCCTGGGCTCATTTATTTTTTGTTCTGCAGCTAAACAGCTTAATTCAGGTCCTCCAAACCTGCCAGGAATGTGCCAGATCCACTTTCCCTGAGGTTTAACAACTCTATATAGAGAGACGAGATCTGCATTTCAGAGCACTCTATTCTATAGTCTTCCTCTGGCAGAACTCCATAATTTCCTTCCCTCAACCAGGAAAGGCAGGAGAGTCTAAGCAGCATTTCTTATGACAATTGAACTTAACGACACTATCACTCTGCCACGGTAAGGGAGCAAAGCTATTGCTAATGTAATAGAAACAGAAAAGCTACTGCTACTGTGATGACAAAATGATACCATCACAAATGCTGAGAGAGCAGTGCACACTATTACCACGTGTTACAATTTGCACAGATTTTTAATAAGTATTTCTTTATTGACCCCTTTGAAGCAAAAGTAGTATTTCTAGAATAAACCTTACCATAATCAGACTGAAACTCTGAGAGGCAGGAGACAGACAGACAACTACAGAAGACCCGTCAAAGTTTCATCCTCTGGGGCAAGTTGGAAAAGTAATTCTGTGCCACTGTCTCATTCAGACTGGTGACACAGAATAGCCTGCAGTCATCCCCACAACCAGACAAAGGAAAATTCTGCTCTCCTAGATACAGCTGTGAAAGGCATTAAATGTGGCAGGGCCCAGCAGACTGCTCCTATGGGCTCCCACAGAGCTCTCATCCATCACTATTTATTTGCTCAGTGCTGTCAGTGTGAAAACCCTTTACCTGGTAGGCAAAGGGAAGAAGATTCTATCTTAAGACTCTGGAGAAGAGCACAAGAAGGAAGAGTGAAAGATGCAAGGGACAAAGTGAACACCACAAATAAGTTATATTCAGCATATAGCTCCTAAGACGTTTTAAAATGAAAAAAAAAAATTATTGAAATATCTTTTGCAGCAAAGGTATGATTGTAATTAATTCATATATAATAGATAGGTCTAGTTATCAAAAGCACCATCATAAAGCAGAGCTTAATTTCCATTTTACACCTAGATCTATCAGAAAATAATTAACAAGGTCTATTTTTAAACTTCTGATGTTTACCATTTCTATTAGTGAGAATCCTGCAAGACTCATTTGCCAGGTAAATAACAGTTCCCTGTAACATGGCTCTTCCAAGCACAACATTTCACAAAGGTTGAAGAAGGATGAGTGGGAAACAGCAACAGAGTTCAGGGGACTCTTCTCATCTCTGCTTCCACCACTTCCTATTTTTCTTTGAGAAATTTTTATTGTAGTAACTGGGATTTAGAGGTGTTGCTTTTCCTACATGGAAATACATTGACTGGACTAATGATGACAACTATTACATACATCCTTACAAGGCAGTGATGGAGTGGACACCATGGCACTGGCTTCAGAGCTGTGGCAGCTCCAGTCATTTTGTGTAAAGGCATGAAGAAAACACAACAGAGGTCTCTGACAGGTGGTGCCCTAGGAACACTAACAATAGACAATTACAGGAAAGCTTAAATACACAAATGGCAGATGAGCTAGGAAGTGTGGTAGAAGAAAGAAAGCAGTAAACATTACTGAAGAAGTTACAAATACAACCACAAAACCCCTATATGTATTCTGTAGGCCATCAAAAATTCACAAGGAACAGTGTAAGCCACAGAAACAGGATGATCACAAAAAAAAACAAAAAAAAAAAAAAAAACCCAAAAAAACCCCAAAGCGTATAAGTAAGACACATTTTGCAAGTGGAAAAGTCTATAACAATCCATAAAATCTGTAAGTAAAATCATTAGGACATGGATACAAATTTCTAGCTCAGGCAAAAATGCTGAGATCAGGAAGATCAAAAAGCAACCAGTAAATTGGTAATAGCAGGAATCTTCAGCTTCCACTAATAAATATATCATATGCCACATTAAGAAAATATTTTTAAAGTTTCTCAACACCTTGAGTAATCACAATTTTTAACAACCAGTTTCAAGCTTGCCCTCCACCTAGCCTTCAGTAGCAACCCCTGATAAGCCCCAATGGTTATGCTCCATGCAATTCAAAGAGGCAATATGTCAGTAAGTAAAGCTGTTGACCAAGCTTTAAAAACTGGAAGAATGCTGAGCTGTGGGCAGGTTAATTGTTTAATTGCCTTTTATAGGGGTGCCAGAATGTGACCTAGAAACCAAGAGATTGTCGCCACCCTCGCAACACTGGGCAGAAACAAGGTATAAGTAGAGCTGGACTCACAGCACTTATACTCATGTAGATTTAATTACAATGCAAAAATCATTGCTTCACACACAACAAAAAATTTACCCCTAAGCACCTTCAAGAAACAACTTAAACCGCGGGTGCAACTCTGGATTTTCTCAGAATGAACACAACTCTGCTGTTCACACAAGCTACATTTTATACCTTAATACTGTAGCTATAGGTGCAAATCCAGTCTAATGGCAAACTAAACAGTATCTCAAACATACAAAACTACATACCAATAAATCTGACGTTTCCAAAGAGTGCTGTAGAAAATCTGGCTGACAATGTTAAGTTCCAGACCTATGCAAGCATTTTTGCTGACTTACCACTTGAAAAGAAGCTTTCATAATTTGAGTGCTGACAACTATGATTAAGGCCTCACAAGAAGATGTGACCACAATGCAGCTTACTGGTGGTGACTTCATTTGAGGTTTTGAGCAAAATCTCAACACGTAAGCTTAAGATGCTTGTTTTCAATAAGTACTGCAACTAAAACTGAAAGGCTGTGCTAAGCTCAACTGAGTAATAAATATCTTAATAGTTTATCTTTTTTAGGTTTGTATACAAGCTTTCAGCAAAATGGGTTTGAAGAAACATTTCTGCTTCTAAAAACTAAGTTCTAAAACCAATTTATATATGAATTAATATACTGCTAACACTTTTTAAGGTCTCCTAATTAAAATACATCTTTATTAAAGGAGGCTACTAAATTTGACAACTAAGTCTTTTGTAAAATCTGAAGGACTCTGTTTAATAAACCACAAGAGAGATCAACATAAACTACTGTAATATATCAAGGAGTTTTGCACTTTTTCCATTATGAGAAAGGACTCGCTGTTTGGCTTTATCTCTGACGCAAAAAAACTTCTGGCATACTCTGCAGGTATTCACTTTCCAAAGTAAGCAGCTGAGCATTGCCATTATCAGTTTGTTTTTCCAGCCAGAACAGGATGCATTTCCAATTACACGTTATAAATCCGTGAGTTGATCCCTACCACAGGTCTGAAAGCTGAGCTTAATTGTGCAGGTATATCAAAACTAGAAGCATCAGATCTGCTACTTTTCTGTCTCTCAGCAGGTATCAGAAATAGGAAGCTCATGAAAGAAGACTTCCAGCTATAAAAGACAACAGAGAAAAAAGCAAGTTTGCCTTCAAATAGAATTAATTACTGGGTCTGTCTACAACAAATTGACAAACTACATGAAAGTAGAAACTAAGAGGAGACACAAGTCTACTATTCTTCATGCCTGTATGCCAGACCCAGTGGGCCATGGATATTTTTTGCCCACTTCTGCAGCTGATGCCTGTCTCCAGTTCCTCTGCATCAGTTAGATCAGCATTACATGTGAATAGAGCCTTTCATTTGGGCTATCCACTCTTTTTCAGAGCATACCCCAAAAGAAATTTTTAGAAGGTGGTTAAGTTAGACACGGCAAGTTAGTGTGGCCTGAAAAGATGAATTTCGATTCAGCCTAGAATTCGGAATGAAAATACAGTTCAACAACCTCATCATGATGCTATTTTCACACTCCAGTAAACCAACGCATTTTTTATGACTGTCAACTTTAAATTAATGGGAAAGTTTGGCCTGGAATCACTGCTCTTGACAAAGTTGTGTTTCAGAGGTCTGCTGGGTAGAAATCAATGCCACTAAACAGGGAAAACAGTATGTATCAGAAATAATTCTACAAGAAGTTAAAGGAAAAAGTGTAAAACATTTTATTTTCTTCTGCTTGGTTGCTTCAGAACATCAGGCACCATTTGGTTTCCAAGCTCTGCAATGAGTCTGCACCTGTGTCCTTTGTTTACTACAATAAGGCAGGCAAAAGTCTGCCAACTGCAGGAGGACACAGTATATCCACCACTCCTCCTTTGTTTCAAACTCATCCCAAGAGCAGCAGCATAGTTTCTGGTTTCAGGCAATGCTTTGTAAATCATTTAAGGAAGATGGTGTGAATATTTTATAAAGTGAAAGGCATTATTGGCAATACTGCCTCATGAAACAGGTGTTTACATTTTTACCACTAAACACTGCATTTTTTGGACTAACTCAGAACACTTTTCACCGTACAAGCGATTCTGGTGAAGAGGCATGTGTGTAGAACACTGGGCACCTTCTCTATATTGATCTTTAGCTTTGGTTTTGCCCATGTAACATCCACATTCACTATTCCCTGTATCCTAAACCAAAGTACATTGATCCAGCCAGAACCAAATTTCTCTTGCTAAGAAAAGAACCAGCCCTTACAAGGCTATTCAAAATACTTTAATGCCAAGAAAGAGCTTTATATTTTAACTTGGTTTCTCCCATGCAGAATCCAAATTAATTATTAACTCTTCTTCCTCTGCTGTCCAGTTTAAAGACCAAATTAAAAGCATTCTTTTTAAAAAATATGTCTGCATACAGAAAGGCTGGCTGGGAAAGAAATCATGGCATCAATTTTGGCAGGCACTTGGGGGGTTTTGTGTTTCTGTTTGTTTGGTTTGGGTTAGTTTTTTGTTTTGTTGTGTTTCAGTTTCTTTTAACTCTGAGGAGCTTACCTCAGATGTATGAGGTAGCGTAGTAGCCTTTCTTCAGTCTGCTGACTATTTTCTTTATTGGTATTTCTCTTGACTTCTCGTCTGACGGGAACAGAAAAAGTTCTCTGCCGTAGGAATGTTTGATGATTAGCTGGCATTTCTCTCAAGTCATAGATCACCACAAACATCTTCACCACAGTTTTGTTAGGGTTAAATAAGGTCTGAAAAGACAAACAGTTCAGTACAATACTCTTTAGAGATAAATTTAGAACAAAAAAAACTCCACCTGCTAAAATAGTCACCATCCTCTATGCACTTTTTTCCATGCCATACAGAAACATTTACATAAAACTATTGTCCAGTTTTTCTGTTTTTCAACACATCAGCTACTAGCAACTCCCATTTTTAAATAAAATACTATATGCAACTTCATCTGAAAGAAGCACTAGTACATGACTACTATTACTTGGCTAATCTACATTCCCACTTTTGTTTATTTTTTCAGTCATCTTATTGTCTACGCTTTTCTGGACACAATATGCTCACAAGAATCACAGTGGTGGGCTCAGCTTTGAAACCTGAAATTACCAATGTGTTCCTCAGGACTGGGTTCTTAAGAGAAAGAGGCAGATTGTTGGTTCTAATTAATGACTGTGATATACTTTCTGATTTTGTTATGAAAAAATAGGTCATGTTAAGATTTTACAAAATTTAGATACAACTGAGCATTTGATCTTAATCCCTTTAGGAGGATGTCAGAATTTGGACTGTAGTGTAAATAATTCTGCAAAGCCACAGAGTCCCCAACTATTTTGAATCTTCAGTATCTGATTTTAAGTCTCTTCACAGCACAGATGGGTTCAAAGTTTGGGAGTCTTTTTTTGTCCCACAAATTCCACACAGATTGCTCCTTTGGATAACTACAGTACCTACAGAGATGCACATTTCCACTGCTAGCTTCATGCTCATCTCCAATAACCTCATCTCCTCTGCATGACTTTCCTGAGCACCCGTATCTGCTGAGTACGTACCACTTGTATTGTTCCTGAAGGCGGTACCCGATAACCCCTTTTACCAAGGGACTCTAAAGTAATCACACCCTAGGGAAAAAAAGACACACATTTAGTTCACAGGGAGAGATACAAACAACTCAAAATGTAATTGTAAATGTAAATTCATGTAACAGTATTTATGCAAAAACCAACCAGTAATATATAAAAACTAAAAACAGAGAAGACAATGCATTAAGATGCAGTTAAAAATCAATAGTGGGGGCCTTACAGATACTTTGGCTGGTAACAACAAAAGGTATGTTCTCCTCTTGAAACAAGATCCAAGCTTTCACATCTTCAAACTAGCAGCCAGGGAGCTATGGTGAGATAGAGCTTTTTTTTTTTTTTAAACAGCTTGCAAGTTTGGAAGAAGAACAGCTTGGAAGATTTGCCTCCTCCTTTCAATTTTTATATCAACTATAATCACACTAATAATACTCCAAGTCTCACAGAACTAGTTTCTGCTTTTCAAAGGCAGCAGAAGCACTTAGTCTTTCATTCTTATCCAAACTTTAGCAACAAGGACATCTGCTTTTGTACCAGCTGTGATTGAGCGTCCCACAGGGCACTGTACCATTGCTGAGGCCACCCCTAGGGTACTGCCAAGAGCACACGCTTGATCAACCTGCAGTGGACAACTGTTGTACCCCACTACACTGGACTTAACAGCAACAACACCAAAACAACAACAACAACAAAAAACCAAACCCAACCAACAAAACAACAAAAAAAGGCAGAAAAACTAGCTATACAAAGAGAAACAATGTTTCTGATGATGAAGCACTATACCCATGTTGTATTAATCCTGGGAGACTCAGCCATAATAGCATGTTTAGAGCATGTGAAAAAGCCTGAAACAATGAAACCAGCTAGAAAAACAACCAATGCTACTTTAACCATTTGAGGAACATCAGAATCCCTTCACCTCCTGGAAAATCAAATGAAATCATCTAGAAAGATGAAAGCAAAACAATAGATACTTCTTTGCAGTGGTTAAGACAAGACATACTCAAGTTTAAATTCTATTATTCAAACTTAACTCACAAAGCCATTTCATTTAAATATTAGGATAATCATATGATACATGCTTTAGCTACATGTTCAAAACAGACTATTCACCATATTATAGACAGACATAGACATATGAGAACCTCTTAAAAAACTAGATCTGTCACCCAGGTAACACAGAGGTGCCTTAACAGGGACTCAGATCAAGCCTAAGTCATCTGATTCAATGCTAGCATACAAGACATCTTTTGCTTTTTACAAAGAAGCGCTTCAGACATCCAAAAACCATGCTGTCACTGGAGAAATGGGGAACAGAATTAGCACAGATAGCGAGAGCACAACCACCATGTCGGTGTGAACCATGCAGCTTGTGAGAGTACCATGCATCACAGCAGCTCAAACAATATTTTCTTTAAAATAAAGGGATGAATAACTTCCGAGTCTAAGGTCTCCATCAGCAATTGTACCTTGTCCTGCACCTACAGCACTTGCTGTCAGAGTGTTTGGTTGCCCACGGCAGCTGCTTGTTGGGACAACAAAACAGATCCTGTTAAGTCCAGCTATTCCCTCACTGCCTATTTTAAGTTAGATGGATAAAGAGAGGTGGTGGGGGTTGATCACTCCAGTGTGGAGGGAGACAAATACACTCAGTGTCCCAAGATAAGAGCAGATGGATGGTGGGGCAGAGCAATGGGAGGAAAATAACTAGTTAGAGAAAGGAAGAAGGGACAGGAGAACTCATCATAAGCAGGTGAAAATAACTCGGGTCTCTGCAAATCCCCACTTCCTGAAGCCCTCCACGCACTGAGCTCTTGTTCTTTATCTCCATCTATGAGAATTTATTTAAAACAAATGCAACCACACACTTACCATGTAAGGAGAGGGTGCATTATCATCTGAAACGCTGTAGAATGACACTTCAACTGGCAGAGTCATGTGTGTGGGACAAAAGATTCCACTTGCTCCCACTTCTGCTGTGAAACCCTCCACGACGCCGAGTGGGTCTAAACGAAAATTTAGGACAGATTCCTGAAAAACAAAACAGCTTAGGTTGAACAACACACAGCTTAGGTTGGGAACACCAGCTCATATAGGAAAATTAAGCAACAAACAAGGAAACCAGTTTATGTAAAAACTTGGGTCTTCTGTAAGGTGGCCTGCCAAAAATCAACATGGAGGCAAAAATTATTATGAACAATGGAACATTCAGCAAGATGACTGTGGTTTAAGAGAAAGCTTCGTACTACTGAAACTGGTGCAAAAGCCCACAGATAATTTTATTGCAGCAAGATCTATGCACAATTTTCGTTGAATATCTGGAAAAAAAAATAATCTACAGTCTGTAACTTCCCTCAACATATTCAGTCCATATTTCACAAATATGGAGTAGGATGCAACTCATTAATTTACCAGCTATTAGTTGTTATTTGATAAGCTAGATGAAGTGAAAAGTTGGAGGCTACAATTCAAATACACTCTGTTTACTACAGTGATTTATCAAAGCTTTTGTGACATATTAAATAAACTAAGAGTGAAAATATATATACACAAAGAAAAAAGGATTTACATTTTATTTATATATATTTAATATATATACACACATATTATATATTTTTTAAAAAATTTATATACACATACATTGTATAGGTTTATACACTATAAACATGAACAATTGCAGGTTGCTGAATCGCATTTAAGTCAACAGAACACCTCCTAACTTGACCATAGCGGGAAATGAAAGATATAAGCAAGTTGGTTTATGTGAATCTTTGAGACAGATAATATTAGGGGCATGAAATATGTGCCTTTAAAGTTGGAAATCAAAACACATTTTATTTGATTTAATGACGAACTTTTACATTGTAATCAGGTCAGAATTATTCACAGTAATGCACTTTTAAAAGCAGTACAGAAGAATACTAAAAATACCACAAAAATCCTAGAGAATATGCAATACCTCAAAGTTTCCCAGAAGGCTAAGACTTGTTACTGGTGGAGCACTAGAACTCAGAAATGGTTTTCCATGGCTCTCTGGATCACTGTCTCTGTTTATACATTGTTGTGGGCTATTAAAAAAAGAAAACAGAGTAAATATAAAGGATAAACATTTGCTTTTGTCTTCTGGGTATAAACAGCTCTAGAAAGAACCAGTTACTTACTGCATTAGAAAATGTTGTCCTAAAGAAATAACAGTTGAATATTGTCTGTTAATATTTAAGCAAAGCATTTTCTAGTTAACTGAAAAAATACCGAGAAAATGACAAGTTTTACATTACAAGGGATAAAGACAATAAAAGTTTAGGTTGTTCATTAACTCCATGAGCAGGAACCAAGTATCAAATAATTTTCTTTTGTATGTAAATATTTTTGCCTCATATCCTGATGTTTCCAATACCAAATGACCGTACTAAGAGCTGTTTATGTTACATGGATTCATGTATAAAGGCTCATGGCCGGTCCCTTTTAAAAGTTAAGTTCTCTGAACAACGCTAAGAACAAAACGCAACACAAAAATAACAGTGATTTGAAAAAGAAACAACAATTACTGTATTTTTCTGTTTGAAAAATCAAGTGTATCTTCCAGCATACCTGCCCCTACCCAGGACATAGTTTGTCCCCAGCAGCAGTTCTCAACCCATGATTAGCTGTGCTAACTTGGAGACCCCTGGGGTAACTCAGCTGCCAAGCCTTTTTTCAAAATAAAGAGTCTTTTGAAAGGCACCCATGTTCTGTCTTTGATAATATGCTTTGCTGTTGTATACATTATGTCTCCCCCAGAATTCTTGATGTTTCTGGTAAATAAAACATACCTTCTTCCAGACAGACACTTCAACTGCAGCAGTGATGAATCCAGATCAAAGCACCCAGACTGAGTTTTCCTTTGAGGAACCTCAGGAGGAAACGAAGATGTTAATTTGAGAACTGTAATGCCAGTAAGAACAATTTTCCCCAAGTAAGCTCAAGTTTGCAAAGAATTTTCATGACATTACAAAATTATAAAAACAGAGCAGAAGAAAGCCATTTCTATACATTGTAAATTTAGTGAAGAAAATTCTAAAAGCATTAAAGACTGTAAATTCTGATTAAAAGAAAGTACTTAGACTCATTCAAGAGGCTGACTTGTCTTTGGAATGGCACAGAGCATTACTAATGAACAGGCTCTAACAATTTCCATCCAATTTCCCTAAAAATATGACAGCATTTACAAGCTCTGAAGAATGAAAAAATATCATGTATTTATTACAGAAGACTATTACTTCAGTAGTTTTAACTGGGACTGCCTTTTTCTTTAAAACTCCCAACAATCTATCAAGAATTTTAACACTTCTCCAATGTCTTTCTGTCTTATCACAGCAGCTTTGTATCACTGAGTCATTCAATGACATCTGATTGCTGAAGAGTATATGGTACAAACTGCTCACAGAAACAAAAGCTTTGGAATAATAGGCAATCAGGTATTAATAACTTACAAAAAAGCTCTTAAATGACAAAATATCTTAGCTTGCACTTAAACCACTAGTCTTTAAAATGCTTTCTTTTGTGCTCTAAAATAGCATCAAAGCATATTTTTGCCATAGAATTTTCTAATGTCACCTTTTGTTAACCTTGGTAGGATCTCAACTCTCAGATATATATTAACTCTCAAATTTCCACATGCAAGAGTATTAACTTTGACACTGAAAGCAAACACACACACTTCACCTATGTCATCTGTCAAATTTTCTACAATACACACATTAAGAGAATCAAATACTTCTTTTCTCATTTAAAAGGGAAGTTATAATTTCAACAATAACTTACAGGACTTGAAAGCAGAGGCAATCCAGTTCTGGGATGAAAAGCCTTGGTTGAAGTTCCATCCAAGGATCGAAAATTATGTTTCCGCCATATATTTGCGTGTTTTAGAGGTGGTGCTTTCTGTCAGAAAAAAAATTTACTCAGGATACCAGTGGGATATTTCAGTGGCCTGTCATGGTGATACTTTGTTTGCTGTAATGCAGAGGACTTACGAACCAGGTAACTGCATCGCACTAGCATACTATGAACTATTCAGTATAAACTCCCTTCAACTCAGTGTGCAGTCACACGAGCTGCTCACCTCAAGATCACACAGCACATTCAGACACTGGTATATGTGTAAGACAACAGGATGCCTAACTGCCTATGGAAACCACTGTTCCTAATGCTGTTGCCATGAGTAGCATAAGACAATGTTCTTCTCAGTGTGAAACATAATTAAGAAGACATGGGGGAGGCACTACTGGCCAAATGTTACTTCAGACCAGAATGGCAATACTAACATGCTGCTTCCTACGAAGTCAGACCTAAATCGCTCTTCATGTTGGTCTTTATCACATATAGAATACGAGCTGACTAAGAGCAACAACAGGAATTGGTCTTTTCCTCGATGCATTTACCTGTACATCTGGGTTCTTTGTCCGCTCACATTTAACTACATCTTCTGTAGGTTTCTTCTGAGAAGTGCCCTGGAAATCAAGGCCTATTGGGTCTTCATTCTCATCATGTGCAGTTTTTGTTTTATCTTGTTTGGTTTTGTTTTTGAAACTGTCATGGTCTTTATTTAAATAATTTTCAATACTAATGAGCTGAGTATTTTGCTCATAAATATTTGGGTATTTTGAGTCTTTATCTAAACACTTGAGCTCATTTTTGAGCGAAGAGTCAGATACCTGCAACACAGTTGCTTTTTTTGTACCTTCAAGTATTCTGCATTTGTCTATCTGTAAATTGTTAAAACTGTCCGTGCCGTTGTTCTCACTAACAACTGTTCTTTCTTTAAGTTTATTTGTGCAAATCTGTTCATCAATGCTGCTGAAATCTGAATACTGCTTAATTCTGTTGGTTATCTGGTCTTTCTGTGTGCAACCAGAATGTATCATTTCCAATTTTTCTGGTAACTCAGATTTATTTTCTTTACTACATGAAGATGAGGATGTGTGATTGTTAGTAAATGCATGAGAAGTTTTGTTTGAAGACTGATGACATGCGCTTCGGACAGCCTCACTGGGTTTTGCTAAAACCAATTTTCTTCTTGCTTGGACTTTGACAGAAGTCTTCGACTCTCCATCAAACCTAGAAGGACTGACAGGAGTATCAGGTGTCTTTGCCCTTGATTTACTGCTGTCTTCTAACAAAGAAAAATCAGACTTAGCAAAAGAAACAGAAGATGGTTCCTTGCCTTTCTTCAGCAAATTTTCATCTTCATATGTACTTCGGAAAATTTTTGAAGTAACTGGGCTAGTCTCCTGCACTTTGTATGGACGTCCAGCAACATGAGAAGTAGCTGGATCACAATGAATCAAGTGTTGGGCAATCCTTGCTATCACCTCCTGCCGCTCCTGGAGCAGAGAACCGATCAGGGGATTGCCCTCTCCTGCCGACTGCCGGCCGCAGTGGTTCAGTGGGACACGGGCATCAAGCGCTGTGACCGCCGGCATTGCTCTAGTTTTGCCTTCACCACCATCTTCTTGTATGGCATTCTCTAAGCTGGCAATAGAAACAGGGGAGGTGTCCTTGCCTTTTCTTGGCAAGTTTTTGTCTTCGTAAGTACTCTGAAAAGCTTTTGGTGTAGCTGAGCTGTTTTCATGCATGTTGAACGGACATCCAGCAACAACTGGTGAAGTAGCTGGGTCACAGTGAATCAAGTGCTGAGCAATCCTTGCAATGACTTCTTGTCGCTCTTGAAGTAAAGACCCTATCAAAGGATTGGTTTCTCCTGTGGGCGGATGAGAGGAATGACTATTCGAAACACAAGAATCAACTAGAGAAAAGGATTTAAAAGTTCTGACAGGTCTTTCGTGAGACTGTTTCTTATCTACTGTAGCATTATAGCAGTGAACTTTAGATCGTGACACCCCAAAGTCAGATCCAAGTCCGGTAGATGGATAAAGTTTTAAATTTCTGATAGATGTAGTAAATTCAGTTGTCTTTTTCCCATTAAGTAAGCCTTCAGGTGTCATTGTCCACGTCTGTTTCCCATAGAAGCGCTGTGGACTAGGGGTACTGCATTGCTGTGCTGCACTGGAATCGCCACGCTGATGTAGCTTATGCTCTTGCATTTGCTTTTCGTAATAGCTCAGGTTGGTGTGAATACTGCAGGTCAAAACTGGGTAGTTCGATTGTCTGGGCAAAGACTGGACGCTGACTCTCAAGGCCACATTGTGAGAAACATTAGGAACAGGAAAGACATGCTCAGTTGGTGTCTGGGAGAATGTCCATTGCAGGTTCACATCTGCAGCGCTCACCCTGAAACAATACAGAAGGGCATTTAGAGAAATATCTAAATGAAGAGTAATTATCTACTTCAGAACTCAAACGTCTAAGAAAAAGCACTAGAGACACCAGCAACTGCTGTACTTTGCGCAGTCTACAAATCCTACACAACTGTCCAAGTACTGGGAAATTTGGCACAGTGTGGCACCTTCTGAAAGCAGGAAGGGAAACAGGAGGGAGAAATGTTTTTAAGAAAAGTTGCAACAACATGCAAACAGCAAATAAGCTTTTTCCCATCCCAGACATACCTGTACAGAATGTTTCGGGGAACAGCACCATGTGAAACACTCAGCCACGCACTTAGCTGAGAGAAGAAAACAAAAGAGCGAACAGCCAATAAAAGCGTCTTCTCTTCAATAAATCGATCTCCACTCCTAAAATGTATTAAGAGAAACACATGGATGATGGGTAGAGTATACACAGAGAACTATGAGAACCAGGATATTTTCAGATCTTGAATAAAACTCGTCAACATTTTAAAGATTACAGAGTCTGTGGTTGTATGCACATAATTTATACAATTAAATATCACAAATAATGAAGAAAAATGACCTTTTTCAGCTAGGAACATTTCATACGCTGCATTGCACAATGTGCACTTCAGAAAGTATGAGTACAGGAAGACTAAGTTTAAAAGACGCTTAGATGTTGCTGGTAAATAGTGGTTTTCCTACATAGTCTTTCATGGCAAAGGGCCAATTCAAAACCACTAACTGATTATTTTAAGGATTTTAATACAATAAAATTTTTGCAACTGTCAGCTAATCCTAATATCCAACTTACTGTCGAGGAACTGGTTCCAAAATCCACCTTTCTAACAGCAATGCATCTTGTTTGATTGCAGGATCATTCAAATCATTCCCCTCAGTGGTGGGCCCTTCATCACTATAGCAACAGTCTGGAAGTAGCATCACTTCTACCATGATTGGAATATTGTTCTTCCAAAGTAGCATAACCTCAGATCTGGTTCGCCTGGCTTGACGACACTGAGGGAAAGAAAAAAAAAAGTCAAGCCATAAAAATACTGGCCAGATTTTAATCTACTTGAAAAACATGTTCCAAAGTACTGGGAAAATGGAAAGGGTCAAATTCTGTAAACCAGATTTCAACAAATCAGAGATAAGATTCTAGAGCTATTAAATGAAAAATAATTAACAAATTTTTTTGTGGTTGCTGTTTGAGCAGATTCTGCAGAAAATTACAAGAGCTCATAAAAATACATTTCCCCAACCACCATGCTTTACTATCTTGTACTTCTGTCTCTGCAAGTCATCCTCTTGGACAGACATACTCAAGCAGTATCTTTACAAACTCTGTGTCTCAGAGTGGGCTAACTTCTACAGGAATAATAACTTAGATTCATGTAGTACTTAGAAACTTTTAGTTGAGCGATGCAATGCTCCAACCTTACTTCCAAATAAACTAGCTAGATTTGATGTGCTCATGTTTTTTTCAAGACTACTTGGAAAAGCAAGTTAGGCAAAGTCACCCTACATTTTCTCAAAAAAAAAAACCACAAAAAATCCAATAAACCAGACCAAGAATGCTAAGTATAGTGCTCCCATTTGCATAATAAAGACTCAAGTAGGCACTGCATTCAGGTAGTCATGCACAATTTCGTGTTCAAGGATAAAGGATTAACAATCTCTCATTTTAAGGACAGATCTATTATTAGTATGATACTGAATTACACACTCGTTAAATGCAGGACTGACAGAAAGCAATTGTTATTCCTGTTTAACTGTGAACCTACTGTGGGGTTCTCAGCTGGCTTTAATCATGGTATCAAGGATGCATGCCAGGACACTTAAAATGAAATGGGTGCCATCATACCTGAGCCACTTTGTCGCTGCATTCATGCTTAGTTGTTGGTGGCTGACTGGATTGTGCTGGTGGGCAATGAAAGCCCTCTGTTCTGCCCTTGATTGAATACTCAGGCGTTCGACCTTCAGTGATCAACAAGGCCAAGGAGACCAGGAACTCCTCAGCTTCATACTCAAAGTATTCATCTAAAGTATCTGTCATTTCAAAAACACAAAAATTAATGACATCTGCTGTATAATAAGCTTTCAACTGTTGGCTAAACCCACAGTTTGTTTCAATTTACACTTAAAAGCAATTGGAAATTGATCTTTGTATCAGACTGGCTGCACTCCTCACAGGGCCCAGATTACTGTAGCACCATAAAACAACTTTCTTTATCTCATGACTTTGTCACTACAAACAGACGAAATTAGAAATACTGTAAAGAAATCTTCACACAATAACTGGTCAATTCACTAGATTTTAGCATTGCTGAGAAGCAATTGTTTGTGTGACCCACAGCCAGATCATAGCTTCTCTAGAAGAAAAAAAGTTTCCTGAGCTCTAGTGGAAGAAATATGATGGCTGTATGACTTGGTGTTATTAATGTGATGTGATAGATAAAAAAGAAGCAACAATACTTAATAAAATACATTAAAAATTGAATTAGAAAAGATATTTTCTCCTCTTAGAAAAAGTGGAACACGATGTTCTTTAAGATTTTTGTTATGAGTCCCTCCTGCTGAGTGCAAGGCTTATTTGAGAGTGCCATTTTTAGTTACTATTAACACATAGGAAAAGTTCCCAAAGAACATACAGAGTATACCTTAGTTTGTACCATGGTCAGTCTAAACTTGTGCAAAGAACTAAAACTCAGCAAGTCTTCGTAGACAAAGCAGCAGCTGGCATTGCTCTTCATGAATTACCCTGGCACACTCGATTCGCACAGAGGCAGGATGCCCCAGTCCTCTGATGTTATGGTGTTTTGTAGATCACACTTCTCCTCCTCCTCCCTCATCAGAAGGATGTCTCATATCATTGAAACAGTTTTAAGTACAAACTGATTGTGTCATCCCCCTCTGCTTGGAAACATTTAAGTTTCAAAATTTTTTAGTTACTGAAGAGGTTATAGAAAAATCTCTTTTCTGAGAAAGCTAAAATACATTAACTTCACTTAAGAGATCCATAGAAGGATGCAGGAAATCAAAGCTCCACTTAAACGAGCAATCACCTGCATATGCAAATTGTAAGTGTGTAAAACTGGCTTTTGCGTGTATATATTTGCCTAGCCCAGGCTTGTACTCTATGAACTCCAGGTCTTACAGCCTATTTTGAGGGATCTACATAAAATAAATAAGAGAAGTCATGCAACTCAGTTCATTGCACAGGAGCCCTCATTGTTACGCTTTCCCCCTCCCTTTTTGAGCAGCTCACACAGGCTATAACCGGGAGCCTCTTCCCCCGCCGCAGCCGCACCTGTCCATGGCACGTGTGGCCGGTGGAACGGCACTCCCGGCCCACACTGTACCGGCCACATCTGCATCTATAAAACGATGGCAGGTGCTGGAACGTCACAACCAGCACAAGTCCAGTGGCTCCATCCTCTGGGAGGAAGCAGGGAAGAGGCTCTTCCAAAATAGCTGCCTGTGCCAGCTGCCTGCCTTCTGCCCTCGGGAGCAGCCCGGCCACGAAGGGACCGCCGGCCCTAGGAGAACAGGGCACCGCCAGGACAATGAATCTGGCCACCCCCTTCTCTCAGGCAGAAGAAAGCCAGAGGATAGACGAATTACCCTGGAGGGCCCCATATGGCACGTGGATGATACATTAAGTCACCTGGCATGAGTTAAAATGGTCATTCATCTGACATGTGGCAGAAAATGACTAATAAAGGGTGCGTGAAAGATTAAAGGAGTGGTAAATAACAGAGAGGACAAGACACTTAAGTAGTGATATGAGTCACCTACAAAATTAGGCATCTGCAAGAATTTTGTTTTTTTTTTTCAGCTGAAAGTCTGGTGAACAATAGGCAAGTCACACTTAAGGATAAGGAAATGGGATTTGGAAAGAGTCTGAAAAGGATTTGAGTATTAAAGCTGACAGAAAAAAAATAATCGCAGCATTATCTTGCTGCTAACACAAGCATCACGCTCATCTTTGTATGTCCAAAGGCCATGGTGATTTTAAGAAAACCACACAGCAGGAAGGATCACTACCAGAGTGTTTTTCTTACTGTGACATAAAAGTCCCAAAAATCTAGAAAATGTTCAGTAGAAGTCATATTAATTTATACAAGAATTGTCTCATGCTTAACAGACTAAACAGTTGTGGAATTCATTCTCAAGAAAATGTGTAAGCAATTCTGTTTAGTTCAAATACGTAAAAACATCTATGGTTTTAAAGAAAAAAATTAAAGACCTTGCTCAAGATCTGAACATGTTTATGAAGACAGATTCTTTTCTCAAACATCTTCTTACTGTAACAGAAATGTGCACAGTAAGATGTGACACCTGAAAATTTACAATAGAGAATTTTAAATAGCAAAAAACAGTAAACCAGTCATGCCCTTTAATTACCATTAGCAGCTTATCATGTGAAGCAGTAGACCTTCTATTAATTGGCTCTTTTTTTTTTTAATAAAGAATCCATTTTTGATCAAAAGCTTCTGGACTTGACACAAATTGAAACACAAATTCCAGGGCCTGAGTGGTTCTGTTGAGCTGGTTAGATTCAGGTAAAAAGCCTATGTCCTTTTTTTCCATTAAAAAAATCTGACAACAAAGCTTACATCGAATACTTAAAATGCTCAGTAGCCTTCACAGATATGTATTACGAATTGACACAACAAGCCATAGACAGTTTAAGCAAGGTGCAAATGCAGGCTCCAGTGAATCTAGTATATAAGCAAGATCTAGTGAATAAAGCAAGGTAAATGAACCTGAAATAATAATTACTTAAGATTCAGAATATATACGTGGTATTACTATATGTAAACAGATAAAACTTTTAAGATCAATTTGCAAACACTGCCTCTGTTCCTGTTTCAGACCTATTACTCCAGAAGCAATCAGTTTCTTGCCTTACAAATGGAAGAGGAGACCCAACTAGCTAGAGATGCATTTGTATTGGCTACAGTTACAAAAACACAGTGTTGTTTCAAAATAAAAACTGCATCTCATTAAAGGCTAAACAGCAAGTTCTGAAATAGGAAATGTTCCTGTTTTCATAAGATCATTATAAAGACAGGAACAACACTTCAAAATTATGTCAGCAATGTAAAAAGCCAGATATTTGATCTGAACTTTGAAAAAAAAAATAAGAATAAAAAAATTAAAGCACCAATAGCAATCGATATTGAGAAATGTTTTCCTACAAACTTCATGTGACTTATTTTAGCTCTGCTAGATTTCTGTGTCATTTAACAACTTCTAAGAGTTTTCATGAAGGAAAAAACCCTAGATATTGAGAAGCTTGGTAATTATTCCTATACAACAGGCACAGATGATGCAAGTTGATGTAATTGAGGACAAGGGTGGAAAGACATTTATAGAAACAGCAAACTCAGTGTTTAGTTTAAAAAAGTCTTACTGTGTGTGCTGTAACTGTTTGCTTTGTGTATGAATCAGCCCTGCTTAAGATACACATAATATATTGTGCACAGAATAACCTCAATCCTATTATCTGACTGCACAAATATGATCATTATTCTGCTCCATCTCTAGCAATGGTACATGCAAGTATATAGCATAAAATATGCATCCCAGCAGTGTCTGGGTTTTATTCACCTTAAACCAGAAAAAAAATCCAGTTAGTTGACACACGCACATCGTAATTAAAGTAACAAGGTAATACAGACCTTTAATCAATACACTGAAACTAAAGTTTATTGACCAGTTTGTCTCAAGAGATAGCAGCACATGTCAGACTACTCCAGGAGGTAAAAAGAAAAAAATAAGTGTAGAGTGAAGCTACTACACAAACCAAAACATACAATACTGGATAACTGAAACCTGAAGGTATACCAGTTTGTCTTCCTTTGTCTCCTGCTCATACCCACCTCAACAAAGCCTGATTTTCTACATCTTCTGGACAAACAGAAAAGCCCACTTAACCAGGGACGTCATAAAGAGAGTCTTTAAATCGTTGTCCTTGTCCTTCCCCATGCATTACACACATACACATTCATTAGAGCACTGGAATAAAAAATAAGAACTCAAAACTGAAAAAAAAAAAAAAAATTATATTGGCCCACATCCTAAAAAAAAAATAAAATAAAACAAACAAACAAACAAACAAAACCAAAAAAAAACCCAAAAAAACCCAACAAAACACCACTATGGAAGTTAGCTATGTGGTACTAGTGAGTCACAAATCCACTGTACTGTAACTCAGGGACTCTTCCAAAACTTCAGTTAATCCAGTTAGGCCCAGCTGACGCCTTTTTTTTTAGGTCACACTTGTGTGAACCAACTCCCTTCCCTTTCCTATCACAGCACTTTTTGCGGTAGTTAGAGAAAATATTTTTCTAAAATATGTGTATTAGAAGAACATTTAATCTATTTTCTAGGCTTACACAGGAAACAAAGACATTCAGTATCATGTAATCCCTTCTGCTCCAGGAGCCATCAGAAGATAAATCTCCAAGCTGCTACCCTGTCCTGCCCAGGGACAGTGAGGTAGTGAACAGCCACAACAGAGCTCCTCCTGTCCTGTGCTCTCCATCACAATCAGGCAGTGCTACAACTATAATCTCTCACTTTGTGCTTATTTTTTTGCCCTAGCACCTTTCATGCTGCACTGAACATCACAAATATCTCAGGAGAAGACCTCAGTTTGTTCAACTTGAGGTATCCATTAGTCCTGACCTTCCCTGATTTGGAGGGCTACTTCCTTATAGTCCATGAAACAACTAAGAATTGCCTTGAAATATGCTCTATAATAGTCCAGGCCCTCCCTGAAAAAATCTTCAGGTATCCCTAATGGATTTTGAAAGCTACTAATTTAATGGATTTCCATTTCACTTCTTAGTTGAAACCCAGTAAGTATAACTCTAAACAAAATATGGAGTGCACAGTGTAGGCCATTCGGATTCCCAGCTGACTGAAGCCCTGCTCCTCCCCTGCCCCAGTTGTCCAGCAGGCACCATGGCATGGTTGCCCACCTCTGCTCTCTGCTACTGTTATGAGCTACAATTTTTTTGGAAAGACTAAAA